CATATTGGTCGGGGAGAAATCCAAACCAGTCTAATTGCAATGAATGGCAGTAGAGGCATAATCCTGATTTTACTTATGCAGGAAAATAAAACAAATGTCACGGATGCCGCCGAGGCTGCTCCTCCTCCTTGCTCGGGCAGGCTTCGGCGTTCGTCGTCCCCGGAGTACTAGCTACTACTGCTTGATGTTTTCGATGTTTGTTTTGTTATGTCTAGTTGGTGCACCTGTTTCGTATTCTGTATTGATTATGTCACCTATAAGTTCCCCTGTGTTATGTTTGCATGTTGTGTGTTATTGTCCGCTTGTCGTATGCGTACTGGTTCGGAACCTTGGCATCTATTGTTGGTTTTACGCACCCCGCGTATTTTGTTCGCCTCCAGTGTTTCGAGGCCGTTTATTTTTGTGTATTATAGAGTTCTTCAGTAAAGTCGTCTTGACTTATCCTCTGTGTCCTGCGCTTGACTTCACCACCGCATCCACATCAGCATACCTTGACAACAAAGGCATGTGATATCAGAAAATCAGAAATGGAATTATTGTGAATAGAATTATTGTCAACCTAAAATATTGTCATATAATCATAAATACAGGATTTATTTAAAAAAAATGTCTGTATAAATAGCCGCGAAAATATATGTAAACACACTATGAATGTCTCAATTTTTGTTTTCTTGGAAACCTGAGAATGCTATTATATGATACAATATCAGTACTTGTGTCAAGGGGTGCTGAAGGTGGGTGTGGTGCATGAATCAAGCGCAGGACGCAGAAGCTCAGTCCAAAAGACTTTAGTGCAATAATCACGTAGAAAAATAAGCACAATAAGCCCGAAGGCGAAATCACGGCGCACACAGGCGTCAAACAAACGGCGCACTAACATGTGCGAAAACCCTCTCCAAAACACTGGAGGGAAGTACGTAGCTCCAACACAAAAACAGAAGAGCAATCACACACAAAGACAAACACAACCAACGAGAACTAAATAGGACACTAACGAGGACTAACAAGACACAGGTGTACAACATAAAGACAAAACCAAACGAACATGAAACATCGATCGGTGGCACCTAGTACTCCGGGGACGACGACCGCCGAAGCCTGCCCGAACCAGAAGGAGGAGCAGCCTTGGCCGAAACCGTGACAACTTGTTGCATTTACAACTTGTCTATCCTATCATCTACTGAATTCAGCCAGTGTATGGCTGTGGATTGACTGCATTGTTTGAATGGAATGTTGGCATATGTAAGGGATAAACGTCGACTTTCTGTACATTACCTTGGAAATAATGGACGATGCAGCAGGACGAGCGTAATGTACAGAACGGAGGCGTTTATCCTGCTTATACCACAGTTGCCAAAGAAAACAATATGAAAGCACACATTTACAGGTAGAAATACTTATTTCCATTCTCATAAGCAAGTTCATACTTTTTCATATTTTGGTTGCTAGAGATGCGACCCAGTCGTTCATTCAATTAGTTTGATATTCATGGGTGCAACGCAGTCATTCGTTCTTTATGTTCCGTTGCCATGCTCGCTGGCAAGGTTCCTATCCCTTGTTTGCTAGCTAGCCAGCTATCAACGGCTAACACATTCACGACCTCTGCATCCAGAATAACAGCAAATTAGCTGTTTTCTATTAATATTCATTTGGATACATCCATAACAATGAGCTGATAAGGCCCTATTTTACCTGGCATAGCTAGAAGAGTTTCCCTTCTCATCAGGACACTCGTCAACACTGACTGTTAATTACGAGGAGATTGCATTGCATATCAAACCCTAGGCTAGAAGCTAGGTAAATAGTTTGTTGCTAGCAAACCTACCAATATGAGAACCGAAAAAAATAAATACCTGTTGCTGAAAACAGCTGGTCAAACTAGAAACATGGGAGGATTTGACAGCATAACACCATTTGCGTCATGACTGCAACAGTAGGGACCAGAGAAATTCATGTTCATCACTCACCACGTTAGGTCATCATCAGATGCTCAATTTTGCTAAAACAAAATCAATGCTAGCTAAGTTTTTTCCTCATTGGACCTGTGTTTACAATGTATCCAATTTCAGTTTGTGTAGTTGTTGGTTTAGCTTTCTGTAACTTCGTAGCAAGTACGGTCTGCATGTGTAGGCGCATATTGCATCATGATTGCAAGGTGTCCCGATATATTTTCCAACTGTCTCGTTATCTGGTTTTAATGTTCATTCTAGAATGCCCTTTTAGCCAATCAGAAACGAGTAATCAACAATGCTGTGGTATAATGGCAGTTAATTTGAAAAATGTATGGGATCATTCCTCTAAAACTGGCTGGCTAGCTAGCTAACAAACATACAGTGCAGATACATTCTTAAAATGCATTGTTTTACACAATATCTTATCACAGCACCAGCAAACCAAGGTTGACCAACTCCCTGACCAAAATGGCTGACCTTTATCCCATCATAAGAAGGTTCATGTCCATTTTAGTATTCTAATTCTATGCATGTATCTTACATTTTTTTCCTATTGGATTAACTGGTTGTTAAAATAACTAAATTGAGAAGATTTGAGAAGATATGTTGTGTTTTGGTGATTAAACCAAAAACCCTCCTCTATTATCTATACCTTCATTATATTTCACAGTAAACTTCTATTTTGGATCAATGGTTGTGTGGTGAGATATGTCTACAAACAAAATGAACACACAAGGAAAGGTTTTTAATGTATGGCTGGCTGCGTTACAAGTGTTACCAGTTTGGAGTTTTATACAGAGTTAAAAAAATTCCACATACTTGTGAAAATAGCACCAAAGCGATTTAAAAAAAAAACGAACTAGGCGCTACATAATTTTGGTTCAGTTGTTATCAGTTTTGAGCAGTTTGATTAAATGAGAGTTAATTGTATCATTAACAAATGACAAGAAAATCATATCAAAAGTAAAGTGAAAATTGCATTTTGAAAAGAGTGATTTGGTGCAGTGAACAAGTGACTTTGTGAATTTGTTTGTTGTACTCAGTCAATTGAAAATGTGCTTAGAGTTTTGAAACATGAGCCAGTTAGAATTTTGTGTTTAGAGTTGTGAAAATGTACCACGTACTTGTGAAAATTGCCCCAAAGTGATTGAAAAAACTGTAATAACTCCCTCATAGCATAGCCCCTCCAAGTTAAGATCTGTCCAACACAAATGTCAAATCTCATAGTGTGTGTGAGTAAGTGTGTTTGTGTTTGCGTGGGAGCGTTTAATGATGTAGACGTTGAATAAATGCTGTGTTTGTGTTAGTGAATGAGCATGCGTGCTCTACAGGTTGGAGGAGATAGGAATGGAAGGTATAGATTATAGAGGAGGGTAATACGCTCTGACTGACTACACTTCATTACTCAGATAAGTGTTTTAGAACTCAGAGAGAGACAGAGACAGAGAAAGAGAAAACGAAAGAGACAAAAGCAAGGAAGATACAAGACAAACAGAGCAAGAGAAACAGGCAGAGAGAGGGATAGAGTGGTTAGAGTTAAGTTTGAGTTGGAGAGATGATACGTTCCCAGCCCACAGAGGATAAGTGATCTTCCATGGCATTAGGGATCTTTAGAAGGGAGCTTGGTGTTGACTGCAGATCAACATGTAGTACATGAAGTATAAAAAATGTATGCACTCACTAACTGCAAGTCGCTCTGGATAAGAGCGTCTACTATATGAATAAAATGTAAATGTAAATGTAAACATGAGGACAGTGATATTCACACCCTATTTACCAGGATCACGCTCAAAGCAAGTTTAGCTTTAAAAAACAAATGTAAAAAAATATTGTATCAAAGCCCCTCTCCTCTTTCTAAAGATCTAAATTAACTGTACTGTATATAAGAATATTAATATGTATACATGAATACTGTGTAAATAGTGGTTTTGTTGTCTCTTGGTGTCTTTCCACTATATAACTCTTATTTTATTTTTATTTTGAATTGAATGTCATATCTTATGTTGTTCTTGTCTATAACTGCTCTGTACTTTGTCATGTATTTGTACGTTTTATGCACGCACGCACGCACACACACACACACACACACACACACACACACACACACACACACAGACCCTTGTGGTTGTCATGAAACCACGATCATCAGGGAATCCACCATAATCCCCATGTTTGAAGAAGTGTTCTCTTTCTCTCTGACACAGCAGGCATTCTGTCTTTCCCCGCTTTCGCCACACAGTCCTGTCCTGTGGGACAGAGGATAACTGATGGTAAAACACCGTATGATTATCACCCTCTTCTATCAGACATCTAATCCAGTGCAGCAGTCAGACAGACATGGCCTGAGTCCCAAATAGCACCCTACTCTCTATAGACAACCTTTATCTATATAAGCACTTTAGAGTCACCCAGAGTCACCACTTACAGTACTTTGTCTCTTCCCCCATCCTCTCATGTAAAACAGCAAGCACTGTCATCTGAAGTATCATTTGACTAAAACGGTAGCGAAGCACGAGCCACTCTCCTGGTAAGGCCTGCTATGTTACCATTAGTGGTTGTGTTAACTGAATCATTTAGCAGAGAGAGTAACAGAGATGTCTGGAGCATTCCCTTCCTCTCTCATCTCATCCCTGCATCCCCCTCCTAAACGCATGGTTGTCTATGAGAGACCAGAGTAGCTCATCCGTGACAAAATGAACTTTGAGAGATACTCCCTGAGCTGCAAATACTGTATAGCGATACAGCAAGCCACAACACAAACAACACACTCAGCTACTAGAGAGAGGAGAGAGAGCGAGAGGAGATAGAGAGAGAGAGAGAGAGAGAGAGAGAGAGAGCGAGAGAGAGATCGAGATAATAGGAAACCGAGAGAGCAGATAGAGGAGAGCGAGGAGAAGAGAGAGCGAGGTCTGCCTACTAGAGATTTACAAAACTACAAGGAGCTTTTCAGTGAAGAGGAGAAAGAGTTGGGAAGAGAAAAAAGGTGGGAGAGAGAAATGAGTGAGATAGTAGAGAGAGAAAGAAAGAAAGAGAGAGGGGAGTGAAAACATGACCTCTTCGTCAGTTTACACAAGCCAAACCCACTGGGCACAAAAACACTGGTGAATCAATGTTGTTTCCACATAATTTTAATGGAATTAAGTTGAACCATCGTGGAATAGCCGTTGAATTGACGTCTGTGCGCAGTGGGAAGAAGACATTAAATATTATGCTCATATCCTCCCATACTTTCAGCCTTACATTGAATTATTAAGTGAGCAGTGATTTTCAGCTTTAGCAGCTATACAAACGATTCCCCAAAAGTACTTATACAATATACAATATATCATTATATCTGTATCCATCCATCTATCCATCCACTCATCCATCCATCAAATATGATGTATATAACTTCTCTCTCCCTTTTAAAAAATCTCCCTCCCTCCCCTCTCTCTCCCATAGGTTGGGTGTGGAGGATAAAACCCTGGAGCGCTCTCTGGCCAGGGCGGGCTGTGAGGTACACTGCTTTGACCCCAGCCTAAGACAGGCCCACCTGCAGGAGTCAGACATGTGGCTCCACCGTCTCTCCATAGACTGGAGGGACCCCAACCCAGCCATCCCCGTCCAGCGACAGCACGGCAACACCAAGAAACTGGCCGCCATCCTCAACGATTTTGGACACAGACAGGTCAGGGGGCACATAGAGAGGAGAAGGGGGTTACATGTAAAGGGAGAGGTGTGAATGAAATGACAAATGGGCAAATGTGTCCTGAATTAAATATAAGGAATGCATGGGCTTATATTCAGAGAGTATATGTACTATACTAAATACAGTGATAATTTACTCCACAGACCAACATCCTACACAGTGCACAATATACAGTACCTTTCTTTTATGTCATATCCATGACCACAATACAAACAATCCATGCAAAATACACTATAAAAGTCACCATAAAAACAAATTCCTTATCTTTCTCACCTCGACCGAAAAAGGCTACACGAAAATGTACATATTCTCTCCCTATGAGCTGGAAGATTGAACTTTATTATCACATAAAGCTGCACGTTGACTCCAGTAGCAGCTCCTCTCTATGCCTCCTCATCATTCATTCCTCCAATGTCTCCTCTTGCCCTGGAGGGCAGAAAACTCAGAGGAAGAGAGAGGCCCAACTCGGCAGAGAATCTGTCTCCCTCCAGCAGGTGGTGTTTTTTTGTTGTTTTGCCCACCATGCAAGGAGTTTTTCTATGGAGGTCAATGAGAGAGTGTTGAATTTTGTCAACAAAATAATTAATGGCTTATTTGCTACGTGAGGTTTATTTGATCTAATGGATGTTTCGTAATGTTTAAGTTGTTACGAGTGTAGTGACATAAGTAGGACATGTGACATCCCGGCAACTTTGAGAAAAAACACTCTATATCGGAGTTATCTCGAGATGGCTATGCATATTCATGGCATGAGGCTAGTCGCATAGCATCTCTCTCCATTGAATACAGGCATTTGACGTCAACAACCCTCACCGAATATTCAAAAAAAGGATTACAATAATGAGATGCATCCATCAATCCAAAGAAAGGATAGGCGGGAGCTAGACAGCCCGCTGTGCAGCTTTGTGGACAACGACTCCCAATGTTAGGGCGGAGAGGCATGTATCTTGTCAGTATATCCATCATCTTTGCTTATAGTTATGGCTTTCCTCCTTTAAATGTTATCATTCAGAATATTAACTCACAGGAGTCCCCCAGGGCTCTGTGTTCTGCCTCATCAGATATGGATCTGCATACAAGATCAATGACATCCACACACAAACACACACACTCATGCATGCTTGCAAACACGCACCCACACACACGCATGCTCACTTGCACACACGCACACACACATGCAACGCGTGCATGAACACAGCAGTTTGTAGAACGGTGCCCTTCCCAAAACACAGCGATGGCATCATAGAAGTAGGCAGGAGAGATCAGAACTATACATCCTATGGAAGGAGTTACAAGTCAGCTACACTACACGCGTTGCCATCAGAATTGTGTCAATGTGACGTTCTAGACCAGAAACCAACCAAAATAAACTTTATTTTCTCATTATTCCCATTCACAAGATATAATTAATTATAACCTCTCAATTTTTAACTGCATATTCCAGATGGCAGGTTACCTCAGCCTAATTCATCACTCTGTTTTTTCTCTACTTTTTTTGGCATGAGCAACAGTTTAATCAGTGCAAATTTAAATCAGGCTCTTGAGCAGAATGCACCGGCGCCTAGCATTAGCGAGTCCATGCTTAGAGGCATCAGCCATTAATTCCTTTTTTTGGAGCGTGCGTGCGTGTGGGTGTGCATGTGTGCGTGCGTGTGGGTGTGCATGTGTGTGTGAGGTAAAGGACAGATCCTATCCTTGTACCTGCTTTAGATGCAATGCGACACACACATCTCCATAATGGGTTTTTAAGGTGAGTACACAGCATGCTTAAAGAACAACTGTCTGCCTTTCTTCGCTCTGCCTTTTTTCTTTCTCCAGCTTTGTGTCAGAAGAAGAGAGAACTGATGAGTTGCTTCTATAGATCAAAATATGCATTCATTTGTGTTCTTTATCGGTGATTACACAGCTCATAAATGAGTCATATGCCACTCTAGTCAGCATCAGAGCCTGTCTCCATGGGGATTAACACCACTTCAGCAGTCCTTCAGATCTCATGCAAATTGATTTGCTTTCTCCTAATGGACAGTAGAACAACAAACAGAGACACTTCTCAATGTCTCACATCCACACTGTCACTAGAGGGACACACAGCCGGCAACATGGCTTCCATTATATCTCCCCCACAGCGCAGGCCTTTCCTTACACTTGTAAGGGTTGGTTATCATGCAGTTGTGGTGACCAGTTGTGGACCAGTTGTGGACCAGTTGTGGGGACCAGTTGTGACCAGCTTTGGGGAACAATTGGGGACCAGTTGGGACCAGTAACTCCAGGGAGATTTGGAAACAGAACAGGTCTTGTACCAGTTATTGGGGGACACTGAGAGGCTGAACAGAACCTCTCTCTCTCCTGGTCCCATCGATGTGTAATTAAATGTCTGCTCATTACGATAGTCTCTGGAGAGGCCTGTTTCAGACGTTTCTCCCTGCACCTCACATCCACTAATTAAAGAACACAAAATACTTAATCTCTTCTTGATACAATCAAAAAAATCACGCAGGCCAAACTTGTTATCTTGTGTTGAGTCGGACTCAAACTTGTTATCTTGTGTTAGTCAGTCCAACGGCTTTAAACCATTCTGCCAACAAATGTGTATCCTTAATCTGAAAGCAGCTTTATGGACAGACATTTTGATCAACAATAACTCATCGTAATGGAGACATAGTGACCCCTGGCTGGGGGTGAACACAAACTGTGGGTGCTGCTGTTTAATGGCTGAGGGGCTTTCATTTCAGTTGAAGGCCGACTCAACTTGAATATTCTCTGCAGCTAGGGGAATAGCTTCTCTCTGAATGGGAAGTAAAGTTCCCCTCTTCTCACAGAGAAGTGATTCTGTCGAGGACTCCACCTTTGGCGATGGTTTAAAAAATAGTGTGTATCTAGCTGTGCATTTATCTAAGGAAACCTTTAGGGGTGAGGCACAGACACACACACACACACACACACACACACAGAGAGAGAGAGACGTTGCGGGCTATGAACAAAGAACACTAAAACATGTTTCCTGTTGATGGAGTGATTCTGACATTCTCCCTATATGGAGCCTGGGGGACCACAATGACTTTACTGCTTGAGCGAGACTTCAGAACTAAAGGTCCGGACTGAGTGTGTGGCCCAAAGGTAAAAGGCACCACCATACCTCAGGCTCAGGGTAGATGATAGCCATCTTTTTTAGTTGTTTCCATGCTGTTATGCAATTCCAGAACAATATCCCCGGACTACAGGGGAACAGAGGATGAGACAAGAGGAGAAAGCGGTTGTTTACATAGCTTCTAGCCTTGCTTGCCAGGCTTTATAGCAATGCTATAGGCCTACAGTGTTAAAGACGCACAGGTAGGAATAAGACAATGCTACTGATGACCTTGGGAGAAGGCAAACTCAGGCAGAGCCTCTCTGAAGGACTAAATAACAGCTCCTTCCATCTCACACTCCCATCGGCACCACTGAACCTCCCTCCCCTCAGTAGACCACAATTTAGGCTAAATCACCCAGCACGCAAGCAAGCAAGCACGCACACACACACACCCTCCCCAAATCCATCAGTTATTGCCCTTCTTCCAATCCTCCCCGTCAAAGTAGTTTCTGTCTGCATATCTCTATTCCTCTCTCACTCTCTGACAAACACACACACACACAGACACAGACACAATCCTCCCAGCTCCAGGCACAGGCCATTTAGTGGAGCAGTCGGAGATCTATTCAGAGCTATGCCACCATACGGATGTTCACGCAAAACTGGCATCTTTCCAGTCCTTGCAACTTCCCATATACAGGGGAAGCGAAGCGCAGACGTACTGCTGGTGGTGGGGGTTTAGGGGACTTTGAGAGGGATGTGTGTGTGTGAAGTCCTTAGGTTTTGCCTTGTATGGTACAACAGGGAGAAGACAGCTGTCAAATAGAATGAAGTTATTGAAAGTAGGCCTACTCAGTGCACACCCTGAGAAAAACATCTATTGTGTAGAACCATTATGGGATTTGTAAGACCTTCATATAGCCTTTTTCCTTGTAGGGATCGGCAAAATGTCCCCGAATTTTCTGTGTTTTACTATCCTTGTGAAGGCTTCTGGTCCCCACAAGGATAGTAAAACCAAAAACACACACACATACGCAGGGGGGGGGGGTGGGGTCATGGGTCATAACATCCCTGTTGGTTAGGGCAGTTCTCATTGTATGACATGTCTGTCCAATTAAGAAAGATGTATTTGCCTTGGGGAGGGATGTTATCCATTGGGAGACCCAGAGACAGAATGAGCAATATGTCCGAGAGCCAGCCAGGTTCAGTTGTTCATTTGACTGTAGCCCTTAGAAGAAGTGTTTTTCTGTTGAGACAGGTCAGAAACTCATCACTTACACTGTAACATTAGAGAGATATGCTTGGTGTGTGGAGAGTTTGGGTCAACTATTTGACAAATATCATTGGCAGCATTTGAAGTTGCCAATGGGGATGTCACCAATGACATGTTGGCAATCGGCCAATGAGGGGGTAGTAAAGTACAGGGGAGAAGGAGAGAGGAGAGAATAAATTGGTTAGATAAAATGTCAAAAGCAAAGAGATTAAAGCACGTTCACTAATTAGGCTTTTAAAAAGTATGGGGTCAAGGAGTTAACCTGACATCAGAAATACTCCAACACATTTAAACAGCAGCCCAATGCCTAATAGATGTGCATTGAAAGTAGGCCATGCATATGATGACTCAGTAAGATCATATCTTGAGGCCGTTATTAAAATTAATGTGTTTTCCTCCCCCTCTCCTCTTCACAGACCTTATACCACATTCATCCCCCCTCACCCCCCTCATATCCTCCTCGTCCTCCACTCAGACAGATACAGTACATCTCTCTTTTTCAACCTCTTAATAATTCGCTCAATCTTTGCACCAACTTCCCCTCACCTCCATCAAAAGTACTTTTTACTCTCTCCATCTTATCTCTCCCTACTGATTGCTAGATATCATCATGCTTGACTCTCTCTCTCTCTGGGAAGATCTCAATTGCATTCCCCTCGCGTCCTCTCTCCTCGTCTCCTTATCAAAACCCATTGGAGGAGAAGTTCAGAGGGGCGGGGCCTCTGGCTTTCTCATCCAATGGCTTTTGAGAAGGAGATGAGGAGAGAGGACGCGAGGCAATGATGCTACAGTACAGCTACAGGCCATTGAAAGGCTTTGAAGCCACTGGTCGGCCATATTGGCACTCCCCAGTAGGAGTGCCAATACTGCTTAAGTCGTTTTTTTTGGGGTATCTGTAGTTTACTTTACTATTTATATTTTGGACAACGTTTACTTTTACTGCACTACATTCCTAAAGAAAATAATGGACTTTTCCATCCATACATTTTCCCTGAGACCCAAAAGTACTCATTACATTCTGAATGCTTAGCAGGACAGGAACATTGTCAAATTCACACACTAATCAACATCCCTGGTCATCTCTACTGTCTCTGATCTGGCAAACTCAGTGATCACAAATGCTTCATTTGTAAATTATGTCTGAGTGTTGGAGTGTGCCCCTGGCTATCCATTTTCGTGACGTTGTCAGCCAACCCATCTATAGATGGTCTGTGTGTTGTTGTGATTCTGGATGGCCAGCTAACTAGCAACAATTCCAAGAGGCTGCCATGTGGGGAATCGTAGGTGGCTCGTTTTATCTAGTTTGATCTAATACTTGATACCATGTCTTGTTACGTAAAAATGTATGCACACATGACTGTACGTCGCTTTGGATAAAAGCGTCTGCTAAATGGCATATTATCTATTATTATTATTTTGTTTTGAGGTGTTTTGACTGACGTTACGTCTATGCTAATATGGCTAAAATGTGTTAGCTAGCTAACCAACAACTGTAGCAATGTATTTGAGAAACGACAAGTGTTGATTGTGCAAATTGATTTATGCTTTCAATAAACATTGAAGACTAAATATAGTTTACAATAATCTAATGCAACCCTGTCTGTTTTGCCCCATATTTGCACACACGTCAGTTTTGTTGCTAAACAACCAACCCATCTATAGGAATGAATGGAATTCTACAGTATTTCACTTAATGTTTCAAGGACAAAGTTACATGCATTTAAGTAATTTTGTTGTTGTAGTGGGGACAGTAACATTATTAATCTCTAAAAACTATACTTTTATATATTTTTATTTATTTCTATGTTTAGCTCACATAATATAATTTACAAGTATGCAATAAGGTGTCTGTAATAGAATAAATGTGGCAAAAACGAATCTAGACATTAATAAATCAATTTCTATAACTTCCTAAATATATTTGACAATGGTGGGGGAGTGCCAAGATGGAAGCACAGTGGCTTCAACACACAGTCATCTAGTGTAAATAAATAATTGACACGAGGAGTATGCAATTGAGATCTTCCCTCTCTCTTTCTCCCACTCTCTGTTCCAGGTGGATGTTCTGAAGGCAGACATGGAGAGTGCGGAGTGGAAGATTCTGGAGAACCTGGTTCTAGAAGGGGTTCTGAGCTCAGTGGGTCAGTTACTACTAGAAGTCCACCTCCACTGGGCGGGGTTTGAGGTGGATGGGGACGACCCATCCGTGGTGCGCTATTGGTTCAGCCTGCTGAAGGAGCTGGAGCGCGCTCACTTCCGTCTCTTCCGTTACTACAGCGACCCAGCCAAGCCCCGCCTCTTCCTGCACAGGAACTTTCTGAACGCCAGCAGTGCCTATACACTGGGCTGGGTCAACAATCAGTGGAGGCCCTGAGAGCACTGACTGACTGACTGACAGACAGGCCTCTGGCCAATGAGAAGGGGAAACTCTGGGAAATGTAGTCCAGCTACGATGGAAAACGAAAGAGTCGTCAATTCCATAGGATGTTTGCCTTTGGATATTTACAGTGAGCTCCAAAAGTATTGGGAAAGTGACAGTTTTGTTGTTGTTTTGGCTCTTTACTCCAGCACTTTGGATTTGAAATGATACAATGACTATGAGCTTAAAGTGCAGACTGTCAGCTTTAATTTGAGATGTATTTTCATCCATATCGGGTGAACCGTTATGAAATTACAGCACTTTTTGTGTATAGTCCCTCCAAATTCACTTATATGTGTATTAAAGTAGTCAAAGTTAAAGAGGCATCGATATCATACCCCCCCAAAAATGCTAACCTCCCCTGTTATTGTAATGAGAGAGGTTAGCATGTCTTGGGGGTATGATATTTGTGCATCTGTAACTTTCTCACTCATCATTATTCACGATTCATTAAGGACTATCCGTGATCATGGCAGCATCCACATTAATATAGACGTGTTTAGAAACATATATTCTTCTTTACAATAAAAGTACTCAAAAATTACACAATATATTATTTACCATGAATTTATTTTGGGCACAAAATAATAATAATAATAATAATATACCATTTAGCAGACGCTTTTATCCAAAGCGACTTACAGTCATGCGTGCATACATTTTTTTGTGGGTGGTCCCGGGGATCGAACCCACTACCTTGGCGTTACAAGCGCCGTGCTCTACCAGCTGAGCTACAGAGGACCACAAATAATCTGAAACACAACCAAAACAAACAGCAAATGCATCCAACAAGTTTGTAAAGTCACAAGCTTGATGTAATCATTGTGTGCTAGGAATATGGGGCCAAATACTAAACTTTTGACTACTTTAATACACTTATTAGTGGATTTGTCCCAATACTTTTGGTCCCCTAAAATGGGGGGACTATGTACAAAAAGTGATGTGATTTCTAAACGGTTCACGTGATATGGATGAAAATACCCTCAAATTAATGTGTCACTGTCCCAATACTTTTAGAGCTCACTGTATTTCTGGCCAATACCACATTTATCACGCTAACCAAAGTACTGTACTCATGCAAATGAATGCCTCTATATCTACAGAGGTTTATGTAAAGTTATGTGAGCTCTACTCTCCTCCTAACAAGCTGCTATCATTTCAACGATGATGAATCACCACTCCCTGTTCCCCTCCCTGATATGACATCAGACATAGTGAGATAATTGCCTCGAGACCCTGAGGTCTGGGGTTGTGAGGCCGGTTGGACATACTGCCAAATTCTCTAAAACGACATTGGAGGCGGCTTATGGTAGTAAAATGAACATTCAATTATCTGGCAACTACTATGTTGGACATTCCTGCAGTCAGCATGCCAATTGCACGCTCCCTCAAAACTTGAGACATCTGTGGCAATGTGTTGTGTGACAAAACTGCTCATTTTAGTGTGGCCTTTTGTCCCCAGCACAAGGTGCACCTGTGTAATGATCATGCTGTTTAATCAGCTTCTTAATATGCCACACCTGTCAGGTGGATGGATTATCTTGGCAAAGGAGAAATGCTCACTAACAGGGATGTAAACTAATTTGTGCACATTTGAGAGAAATAAGCTTTGTGCATATGGGACATTTCTGGGATCTTTTATTTCAGCTCATGGATAACGGGACCAACACTTTACGTTGCATTTATATCTTTGTTCAGTATAATAGCCTCAAATTGTCCCCAGGACCTTCCTCAAAAAAGATGGTAAATGGAGCTGGGTGCATTGCTGTCAGAGAGGCTGAGCACGCCTCATTTAGCACAGGGATGAGTGTCTGTAAGAGGCTTCTTATGAGGTAGGGTAGGAGAGACTATGCCGCCTGAAGAGAGACGGACGGACTGTCTTCCCAGAGACTGACCCTGCCTGGGTTACAACAGACTGGCACTGTACTGTATGTAGGTTACAGGAGGGGAAAACTCAAGGATGTGAAGAATCCTCTCAGAATTGCCTCACTCACTTGTCTTACGTCAGTCAATACATATGACACTATACATTAAACTGAGTGTTTGAAAAGATTACAAGGTATGTCAAATTATAGGGAGAATTCAGTTTGCCTGAGCAAATATTTAAATCTGGATTATTCTAAAGACAATCCCAAAGATGGTGAAATCTATCTAACCTGAACTGCAACTGAACTTTTCCTGAGGGAATAGTACGGAGTCGCTCCCTCCTTAGAACATTTCAGTCCAGATGCCACAATGACTCATGCTGTTTTCCCACTCTTTCTCAAACCGTTCCTCTCTTTCTGACTCAATCTCTGTCTCACTCATTGACTTCTCTCTGCAGCTGTCCAACTACTTTTCAACAAATATTACAAAATGGTAGACATGGTTCAGGCTGACATATTACGGATGAATACATTCTGTGAAAATCTTTCAATTAAAAATGAATACCCCTGATCTTTTGACGTGATTTGAAAGACACAAGGAAATAGCGACTTGGCTACACTTTTCTTTTGAGAGAGGGGTTTGTTTGGATTTAATGGTGATAAGGGAACTGTTACTAAAGAGAAAATACACTTTGGAAAATCTGACCTTCAAAGGCAAATGACGAAAGTATGAAAACAACTTAACCAATGACAAGCGTTTTCTTGACAGGCAAAATGTACAAAATGTTTAATCTCATTTCACATTGGGACAGTCATATATTTAAAAAATGGTTTACAAAATAAGGAAAACAATATTTTCCAGGATTATTGTGTGTGGATGATACTGACATCACTGATTAAAACAGAAACATTTAAACATGAAACTAAAGATGTAAACCCTCCAAATACAACTAACACACTGTGGGTGAGTATGTGTGAATCATTATCTCTGTGTGTATAAAGCTCTTTGTCAACATCAACAGTTCAATCCACCAGTGTCCCCTCTTGAGATGGGGTAGAAATATACACTGAGTTACAACAGGACTGGATACCAGCCCTATGGCTTTTAGACTGCCATTAAATGATGTAAAATACATGACAGAAAGACCACCACCTCTCCCCCCAAAGAGAGGGAGTCCCTCTGCACCACTCACTCTTGCCCCCCACCCCCATGTTTCTAGTCCCAGAGTTTGATCTGTCCGTCCCAGCCACAGGTGATGACCTTGGAAGTCTCGTGCGGATGCCACAGGGCGCTGATGCACACCTTGTCGTGGGCCTTGATCCGGTGATACAGCTTGGTGGTCTTCCAGTCCCAGATATTCAGCTTCCCATCCGCATCGCCAGACACCACATAGCTACAAGAGAGAGAGAGAGAGAAGGAGAGAGAGAAGGGAGGAGAGAGATAGAGGTTAGGCTCCCTGCTATAAATGTCTCCTGTTCCATTATACCTAAGAGGTTGTGTGAATTTGGGTCTCTGCTCGAAAGGGGGGGGGGGGGGGGGGTACTTGCTGTTTCCATGGTTACTAAGAGAGAAGTGAAGGCACCTGCTGATAGGGGTGAGCGATGCGGCACGGGGAAGGGTGGGGGCAACACGGGGAGGGTGAGGGGGTTCTTAATTGGGGTTTGTGCTAAAATGAGGTAGGTGGCCTGGTTAGCTCTCTCCTGGAGGGGTGTATATTAGGCTCTAAGTACAGGATATCCTCAGAAACACTCAATGACTGAAGGACTTGTTTTAGAGAGGGAAGTAGAGGTGAGTGTACTGATCTGTCTGTTTCTGGATAAACAGAATATTACCTGTTTGGGGAATGTTTCTCTCTCCTTTTCCCTATCTCTCCCTGAAGTTTGTAATATTCCTCCCTTCAAAACGGGTTGATTCCAGGTACATTTTAAAATGGAAAACAAAAAAATCCTCTAATTGAAAACATGCTAGGACCATTGCTGTGTTACCTATCCCATTTAGACAAACACCAGGTGAACCTGTAGGGGGCGATGTCACTGAACATCTGACCCATGAAGCCCTGGGTCATATTCATTAGAAATCAAATTGAAGAAAACGGTGAGGGACTACCTGGATTTGTCCAATAAGAAACATTTGTTTCGTTGCAAAATGTTTTGCTACTGTTTGCAATGGTGTGCTCTAATGAATGGGACTCTGTTGTCTTACCTCATGTCTGGGGAGAAGTCCACCTGGCATGCGTAGCCAGCCACCATGTGGCCCTTGAAGATCTTCTTCTTGTTCAGACGGAAACGGTTCTGGGCTCCAAAGATCAGGATCTGGTTGTCCATGGACTGGCAGGCCAGCCACTTACCTACGAGGGGAGAAAATACAATAACATTTAGAAAAACGGTTTGATTTAGAGTTCTTCAGAGTGCAGTTTTAGTTCGAGCTTGCTGATGGTAGGTGTTGAGCCCAGGTCAGGACTTCTCCAGTGAGAAGTGGGTCTGGGCCAAGGTATTTCCAAACAACATGTTTCTGTTCAACCTTTTTCAGAGTGTGAAAAGCAGCTAATGCATGAGGAGCTCAGTTTTGTTAGGAAAGGGATACAACTCTCTAGAAATAAAATCATACAAATCTATCCCAGGCAGACTGAGCGTGTCAAACAAGCCAGGTTGGTTGAGCTAAAGAAAATGCTAGTTATCATGGTCTGTATGAGTGGACCACCCCAGAAGACTGCACTGGCAGCTCTTTTTCCTAACCACTTGAGAAAGATGAAAGCCTTCCCTTTGGAAAACATGAAGACCGAACGCCGACTTGGGCAACGTCCCAAATGGCACCCTAATTCCCTATATAGTGTACTACTTTGGGCCATGTTCAAAAGTAGTGCACTGCATAGTGAATAGGGTGCCATTTGGGATAACTTTGACGTCAACCTCACAGACGTTCAGTTAGCTAGAAACCCTCCAGTCTCTCTCCTCAGACACTGGGACTCAGTAACAAAGATGCTGGTTGGGCAGCCGTGCCAAAGCATTTCACGAATCACTGCACTTCTTGAAAAGAAACATGATGGAAATGAATCATGTGTGTTTGGCTGTGCGTGTGTGTGTGTTCCACTGTGTGTGTGTCCTCCTTACCAAACCCACATAAAAGGATGCCATTAAACGGATGAAAACAACTGGGTCAATTTCGCCCGACTGCTCTGACCTCAGATCTCTTTTGTTAAAGTGGAGAGAAAATAACAAGGATAAGAAGACGAAAGGCTCCAGTCCCAGCTAGGGCTGCTGCCATGCTGCCATTTAGGAGTGTAGCTGTGGGGGACAGAGTGGAGTGGTCTGCTCTCCCAGTGAGAGTTCATCCATTATTTAGACTAAAGAGAAACAATCCATGTCAGGTCAAATATGAACAGCTCAGAGAAAGATATGGGGGACGTGAGGATAGGGGAGAGGGGTGGAGGTGTATGAAGGGGGGAATGGGACAAATAAAAAGCTAAGTGCCAGAATATGTACACCAGTCAATCTCTGTGTGTGTGTGTGTGTGTGTGTGTGTGTGTGTGTGTGTGTGTGTGTGTGTCTCCACTCACCATTGGGTGAGAGTGTTACAGCAGGCATAGAGTGCATACTGGGCTCTGCGATGTACTTGAAGTCCACGGGAATGTCCCTGTAAAACATAGCACGGTCACAAATTGGTTAGAGTATGGTCAAGTACGGTCCACCATGACATTACTGGCATGAGTATTGACAACTAGCAGCAATGCTCTCAGGTTGGAAACATTCACAAAGTCATGCCATGCAGCTTGAGCTTGTCTTAGCAGGACATGATTCTAGCAGAGATCCAAATTATAACACTGACAGTACAGCTAGGATCCAGACAGTGTTGGCATTACAGATATGTAAATGGTATGGATTTCCTAGCCATGTTTGCTTAAACGCTAGCGTCCAATTAGATCTACTCGTTCCCTCTCTCTTTCCCTGCTCTCCCCGTTTTCTCTTTCTCCATCTCTACTTTCTCAACCCTCCGCTCGCAGAGTGTGAGAGTGAAATGGAGGGATGTTATGCATGTTGTTCTAGGGTCTGCCCAGCATCATCCAACTCTATGGTCCTGTCCCACCTGCCTGCGACAGCAGAGCAGCAGGCAGTCTAAGGTTTATTTGTGTGTGTGACAGACACCGACCCCTGTGGCAGGCTGCAGATTGTCTATGACTGTGACTAATGCCGTGTGTGTGTGTGTGTGTGTGCACGTTGACTTGATCCTCCTCTCCCCTCCCTCAGTAGTCTCGAAAGCCCGACTCTAGGCAGCAACAGTGACTAGGGTCTGATTTCAATGACAGACTTTTGGAAACTTCAATAAGGGAAAAAAATTGTTTGGGTTTGGTCGGGTTTGAGACTGCTCACTCAGTGGGAGGCTGTCTATCTGGACTGAGGCCATCTCTCTCTCGCTCCCTCTTCCATCCATCCCTCCCCTCTCCCGCTCTCAGATAACACACAGCTGGACTCGTTTAGAGTAGCAGTGCTGCACAGTTCTATCCCATAAACAGCAGCTAAGCCTATCTCCACCCAACACCAAACCAGGGCCAAAAAGGAACAGGACAGCCATTTTCAAACCAGGGTGAACAACAGAAAAATAACTCACAAAGCATGAGTTAACAACTGTCTATGATCCTGAATACATATAAAATGTAGAGCATGTGTGCACACACACACGCAACCCAAAATGTCCCCCTGAGCGAGCCCTGGCTGATGTCCACAGCAGAGAAGTCAGGCCAAACTAAATCTCTGAACACAAGAAAAACACGTAAAATCTCCTCTCAGAGCTCCAAAAATAACTCTGCTCTCAATGTGTCTGCGTGGCTGGGAAAGAGATAAAGAGAGAACAAGGAGGATACGAATAACACCACCAGTTTGGAGTGGACTGCTGCGATTTCATCCCAGTGTGTTTTGTTAATAAAGCCCATAAACTTTCAGGTGAAGTTGTGTTCCTGAAGACCCTAACCTGCCCCCAGTCAGTCCTAATCCACATTAACAGCTTCTCTCAGAATAGGACTGCTGATCTAGGATCAGGTCCCCCCTGTCCATGTAATCGTTTTCATTTCAATATGTCCCAAATTCACACTATATTCAACTTACCCCTCTATCGCCATGTCAGTGATATGTGACTCCATGTTTATTTCTGCCTAATTCAGCTGAGCTGGGGAGAGGGGGGGCCCAGAGCCAACCAGGTGGTATCCAGGGGAGACACAGGGGGGCAGTAAAGGTTATTCTCTCCACCATACAGTGAGGGAAAAAGGTATTTGATTCCCTGCTGATTTTGTAAGTTTGCCCACTGACAAAGACATGATCAGTCTATAATTTAAATGGTAGGCTTATTTGAACAGTGAGAGACAGAATAACAACAACAAAATCCAGAAAAACGCATGTCAAAAATGTTAGAAATTGATTTGCATTTTAATGAGGGAAATAAGTATTTGACCCCTCTGCAAAACATGACTTAGTACTTGGTGGCAAAACCCTTGTTGGCAATCACAGAGGTCAGACGTTTCTTGTAGTTGGCCACCAGGTTTGCACACATCTCAGGAGGGATTTTGTCTCACTCCTCTTTGCAGATCTTCTCCAAGTCATTAAGGTTTCGAGGCTGACGTTTGGCAACTCAAACCTTCAGCTCCCTCCACAGATTTTCTATGGGATTAAGGTCTGGAGACTGGCTAGGCCACTCCAGGACCTTAATGTGCTTCTTCTTGAGCCACTCCTTTGTTGCCTTGGCCGTGTGTTTTGGGTCATTGTCATGCTGGAATACCCATCCACAACCCATTTTCAATGCCCTGGCTGAGGGAAGGAGGTTCTCACCCAAGATTTGACGATACATTGCCCCGTCCATCGTCCCTTTGATGCGGTGAAGTTGTCATGTCCCCTTAGCAGAAAAACACCCCCAAAGCATAATGTTTCCACCTCCATGTTTGACGGTGGGGATGGTGTTCTTGGGGTCATAGGCAGCAATCCTCCTCCTCCAAACACGGCGAGTCGAGTTGATGCCAAAGAGCTCCATTTTGGTCTCATCTGACCACAACACTTTCACCCAGTTCTCCTCTGAATCATTCAGATGTTCATTGGCAAACTTCAGATGGCCCTGTATACAGTGGGGGAAAAAAAGTATTTAGTCAGCCACCAATTGTGCAAGTTCTCCCACTTAAAAAGATGAGAGAGGCCTGTAATTTTCATCATAGGTACACGTCAACTATCACAGACAAAATGAGAAAAAAAATCTAGAAAATCACATTGTAGGATTTTTAATGAATTTATTGGCATATGATGGTGGAAAATAAGTATTTGGTCAATAACAAAAGTTTCTCAATACTTTGTTATATACCCTTTGTTGGCAATGACACAGGTCAAACGTTTTCTGTAAGTCTTCACAAGGTTTTCACACACTGTTGCTGGTATTTTGGCCCATTCCTCCATGCAGATCTCCTCTAGAGCAGTGATGTTTTGGGGCTGTCGCTGGGCAACACAGACTTTCAACTCCCTCCAAAGATTTTCTATGGGGTTGAGATCTGGAGACTGGCTAGGCCACTCCAGGACCTTGAAATGCTTCTTACGAAGCCACTCCTTCGTTGCCCGGGCGGTGTGTTTGGGATCATTGTCATGCTGAAAGACCCAGCCACGTTTCATCTTCAATGCCCTTGCTGATGGAAGGAGGGTTTTCACTCAAAATCTCACGATACATGGCCCCATTCATTCTTTCCTTTACACGGATCAGTCGTCCTGGTCCCTTTTGCAGGAAAACAGCCCCAAAGCATGATGTTTCCAACCCCATGCTTCACAGTAGGTATGGTGTTCTTTGGATGCAACTCAGCATTCTTTGTCCTCCAAATATGACGAGTTGAGTTTTTACCAAAAAGTTCTATTTTGGTTTCATCTGACATTCTCCCAATCCTCTTCTGGATCATCCAAATGCACTTCAGACGGGCCTGGACATGTACTGGCTTAAGCAGGGGGACACGACTCGCACTGCAGGATTTGAGTCCCTGGCGGCGTAGTGTGTTACTGATGGTAGGCTTTGTTACTTTGGTCCCAGCTCTCTGCAGGTCATTCACTAGGTCCCCCCGTGTGGTTCTGGGATTTTTGCTCACCGTTCTTGTGATCATTTTGACCCCACGGGGTGAGATCTTGCGTGGAGCCCCAGATCGAGGGAGATTATCAGTGGTCTTGTATGTCTTCCATTTCCTAATAATTGCTCCCACAGTTGATTTCTTCAAACCAAGCTGCTTACCTATTGCAGATTCAGTCTTCCCAGCCTGGTGCAGGTCTACAATTTTGTTTTTGGTGTCCTTTGACAGCTCTTTGGTCTTGGCCATTGTGGAGTTTGGAGTGTGACTGTTTGAGGTTGTGGACAGGTGTCTTTTATACTGATAACAAGTTCAAACAGGTGCCATTAATACAGGTAACGAGTGGAGGACAGAGGAGCCTCTTAAAGAAGAAGTTACAGGTCTGTGAGAGCCAGAAATCTTGCTTGTTTGTAGGTGACCAAATACTTATTTTCCACCATAATTTGCAAATAAATTCATTAAAAATCCTACAATGGGATTTTCTGGATTTTTTTTTCTCAATTTGTCTGTCATAGTTGACGTATACCTATGATGAAAATTACAGGCCTCTCATCTTTTTAAGTGGGAGAACTTGCACAATTGGTGGCTGACTAAATACTTTTTTCCCCCACTGTATGTGCTTTCTTGAGCAGGGGGACCTTGCGGGCGCTGCAGGATTTCAGTCCTTCACGGCGTAGTGTGTTACCAATTGTTTTCTTGGTGACTATGGTCCCAGCTGCCTTGAGATCATTGACAAGATCCTCCCGTGTAGTTCTGGGCTGATTCCTCATCGTTCTCATGATCATTGCAACTCCACGAGGTGAGATATTGCATGGAGCCCCAGGCCGAGGAAGATTGACAGTTCTTTTGTGTTTCTTCCATTTGTGAATAATCGCACCAACTGTTGTCACCTTCTCACCAAGCTGCTTGGCGATGGTCTTGTAGCCCATTCCAGCCTTGTGTAGGTCTACAATCTTGTCCCTGACATCCTTGGAGAGCTCTTTGGTCTTGGCCATGGTGGAGAGTTTGGAATCTGATTGATTGATTGCTTCTGTGGACTCCCTTTAAGAGTGTGCTCCTAATCTCAGCTCGTTACCTGTATAAAAGACACCTGGGAGCCAGAAATCTTTCTGATTGAGAGGGGTCAAATACTTATTTCCCTCATTAAAATGCAAATCAATTCATAACATTTTTGAAATGCGTTTTTCTGGATTTTTTTGTTGTTATTCTGTCTCTCACGGTTCAAATAAACCTACCATTAAAATTATAGACTGATCATTTCTTTGTCAGTGGGCAAATGTACAAAATCAGCAGGGGATCAAATACTTTTTCCCCCTCACTGTAACAAACCCCTCTCGCTCCCCCACTACACTCCCAAAGCCCCTGAGAGCACCCTGAATGAGTGTGCAATCCATTCAAATACTCAACACTCTCAAAGCCAAAGAGTGTGCATGTTCCACACTCCACTCTAACAAGCACATTTTACCGTAAAAGTGTAAGTACAGTGTCTCCAATCAATTAAGGCAGAGACCAAAAACGTGGATTTGCCCAATTATTGTCAAAAGAGCTGACCTGGTTGGTCAAAAGACCAATTAGTGGAAAAAGATCAGAATTGGGCTGCCTGTGTAAACGCAGTCATTAGGCATACTAGCAAGAGTGCATATCACTCCCTTCTCACCGACCCGACCAAACCCACTCCCTCCCCAGACTCCACTACTAAACCCACAGCTGGCATCCCTGGCACCCTCTCCCTACCATTCAATCCTACTGCTTAAACACACACAATAACCGGATATTACAGAAAGAATCACAACTGATGGGAAAAGGGGGTATTTTGTGGAATCTGTGTTCTAATAAAACAGTCCCTCTAAGTATCCCTGTGAAATGTCCATCCTTCGTCACCGGGTCTTAAATATTTATCATCTTAGTGGTAAACACACCAGTGTTTGTTTATTGCCATGGGAACCAAGCTAATTTGCAAGTCGTTCTAACGAGCTTGGTGATTGGCGGTTGAGTGGAAAGACAGGACAGCGGGCTGGATGGGGCCCTTGAGGGGAAACGAACTCTATATCCTTTAAAATGACCAAAACCAAATCGAAACTGTGTAGAAATGATAATGACCTATATTCATACATTCTTGACTGTCCAGCTCACAAAATATCAGTGTGCACCACAGGAGGCTGCGGAGGGGAGAACGGCTCATAATAATGGCCGGAACAGAGCAAATGGAATGGCATCATGTATTTGATGCCATTCCACAAATTCCACTTCAGTCATTACCACGAACCCCAATTAAGATGCCACCAACCTCCTGTTCTGTGCACAGTCAATGGACCTACATTCATACAGTTTGACTTTCCAGCTTGCTAATAATCACTACAGTCAGTGAGCATTGAAAATGCAAAAAATGATGGATAGAGGACAATTTGTTGAAAAAATGGACAGCATGGAAATATAACACATTTTAAGTACGGCCCTCTGGACCTCGTTGAAGACCCCGGGGCAAAATGAGTTCAACACCCCTGGTCTAAAACATTTTTTCTTCTTCTACAAAAATCATCTAAACATCTAGACATTACAAGCTAGGCACGTAGCTAGAAGAAGAGGGGACTTCATGGAATCCAACAGTAGTGAACATCCCATGAGCTGCCACCCATAGCAGCACCCTAACCCAATTCAACCAAACACATTCCTCCTCCACTCTCATTTGCACTTTATTACCTGTGAAACACTCTTTGGCAATGAGTTCAGTTTGCAGAAAGGCATCTAGAACACTGTCAGGACAAACTGTTGGCTCCAATGTACAAACAAGCTATATTATGCAAATGAGGCATAATACCAGTAGTGATGCTATGATGCTACTCATCAACAATGTTGTTGAATCCTCTCCATCTCATAACTAACGGTGCTGATTACAATGCCAACACAATGGTAGGGTCAGTGCAGGTAACAAGCTCAGCAGTCTCTTGTTTGTCACTTACCACTCCCACACGCGGAGGGACTTGTCGTCAGACGTGCTGACGAAACGGCGGTTCTCATCCACGAACGTGATGGTGTTGACCGCTCCCAGGTGACGGTCGTACTCCTGAACCACCTCTCCTGTCCTCACGTCCCACTGGGGGAGGGGGGAACACAGGATAGAGAGAAGACATTAATTAACACAAAATGAAACAGGTTAAACACACACACCGGTAGATTAGCTAAGTGAATGTGAAAGAAATTACACAACACACTCCTGTCATAGACAAACACACCAATATTACAGTTTAATAAGGTGACAAAATGATTCAAAAATAGAGAGGGAGAGAGAGATTGTCTATTTACAGAGTTGTTAATTGCTTTTCCAGCGAGGGGACTGTGCCTAGTGTGTTGTGGTCTCCTTCTCCCTCCCCTCTCTCTCTCCCTCCCTCCCTCCCCCCTCCCCCTCCCTCCCCTCCCCTCTCCCCCCTCCCCTCCCTCCCTCCCTCCCAGGTAGCGTGTGTTTCATGACAGTACCTGAACAATCTTCTTATCAGACATGCCAGCCACAAACAGATTCTGCTTGTCCTCATCTGGGTTGAACTTGACGCAGTACGGCACCTTTCTGTTGGTGAAGCGGGAGATGCACTGGCCTGTGGAAGGACAGTTTACACATTTGAGAACAACCCACACGGACTGTCTGCAACACACATTGTCATCATAATAGTGCAGAAACAACCCCCAGCAGCCAGCCAGCCATAACTTGCCGGTGTGGCATTCTGCCAATCCAATCCGATTGTCAAAGCCAACACCCTCAATACAATTGATGAATGGAAGAATCCTCATGAAAAATGTGTCATTTTCAATTAATCAATACAAGTTGACTGAATGTAAATGAAATGTCCCCTAACCATACAGCTCGGTGACTCGTACACAAGGTGCTATGACAAGTCAGTGGTCCTACAGAGCAACAAGTGGAGGATTAGTCTCTCTACTGCCCTCTGCTGGGAGAGCAGAGACTCTCCCTGGTCCCACTTGTAGTACCCACATCTACACAACATCCTTCTATCTGAATGTTCAACCATGCTGGCCACCTTCAGTAGGGCACAACATTATGAAACATTCTCATAGAATTGTGTTATATAGAACTGATATGCTTCTCTGACTATGTCAAGTAAAGTCATCGTGACGGCTCTATTTGTGGCATTTCTAAATCACGGCCACGACTGTTCCGTTCAATGACAGTCCCCAGACATGGTGGAACTGTGGCAATTATATCGTGGTCACCACGACCACGGCTGAACCAACCAGTCTCAGTGTCCCAGAGTTTGAGGTAGCGGTCGTAGGCTGCACTCATGTACTGAGTCCCAGTGTTGTTGAAGCAAATATCCCGCACCGCTTTACTGTGGCCTGGAGGGAGAGAGACAGAAAAAAACATTTTATATGCATATATTCCTCCTGTCCTGTTATAGCCCCTGATCCCACTGCCTTTCAGATCACATTCATTGTTGGAATATGAAATCACAGACAGAGAAAGAAGGGTGAGAAAGAGACAAAGCCAAAGTGGAGCTGAGGGGCAGAGAGAAGAGGGGAAGAGAGAGGGAGAAGAGGGGAAGAGACAGGGAGGAGGGAGGGAGTATCAAGGCAAGAAAGACAAACAAGCTTAAGCATAAAGGGGACTTGGAGTGAGAATCTCCCTCTACTATACCCCTCGTTCCCTCAACTCATCTGTTCCCCCTGGTCTCCACTCATTCCTACCTCTATCCCTCTTTCTCACACTCTCCCTCCCTTGTGTTTATGCGTATGCGTGTCTATAGAGTCAGGTTAAGTAACATCTGGTCCCGTTGGTCTCTCTCCTCTCAGACAACCCTCTTGTTAAGAGCGCCTACCATGGCAATAACAGGGTATTTCGAAGCTAGCAGTCTGTCTGTCCACGCTCTAACCAGGCCTATCCCACATCTCATTCCTGTAGTGGCACAGACTCCTAACCCCACATGCACTTTAGAGACTGGCTTCAGCTGTACTGTAGGGTAGGGCAAAACATACAACACACTCAAGCTAGAGACCTTCACCACACACACGTTACCACTTTGGTTAGCGCGCTTGCTACTCTGAAATAACCCCACTGCTCTCTGGAGCTCCATTCCTAAAACACACGCACTCTCCATCCCTCTTTCTTGCCTTCTATACACCCCCTCCCCCTCTCTCCTCCTCTCCTCCCCTCTATCCACCCAGGGCTGTTGAATTATACATGGTGTTTGAGGGAGCTGACAGGCAGAACCACAGCTGAAGGAAAACAATCTACTCTCCGACAGCCCAGCCTGTCCACAGGAGGGATGGATGGGTAGTGACCTGCATGCAATACCCAGCTGCGTCCCTCGGTCTACTCTAAACCTATCCTCAATGCTCAGCGGAAAGCTTACGTTTTATTAACATTCACTTAGCGCTAAATTAACGCTCCATCTCCAATATCCTCCACATCTTACACCCCCCCCCCCCCCCCCCCCCAACAGTGTCAGCTCACATTCCATTAACGTTGTATTAATGCTGAATTAACATTCCGCCGCAACAGAGTTCTAGAATAGTGGGAAACAGGATAATGAGATGTCACTCTCCCTGACCGTGGCCCAGCGCGATGCTCTGACAACCAGCTTACATCCATTATTCTCCCAATGTTCAGATCACGTTCACTCCGCATTGAATTAGAAACACTAATGAGATCTGCCGAGGGAAAGGAGTGTGCTTGATTGAAATCCAACTAACTTGTACTGGTGGATAGATTGAATGTTGAAGTGATGTGCTTGAGTGACTAAGAAATGCATTTGGTTTTGTATATACCCTTTGAGATGACAACACTTCGGCTAGTTAGTGGTTTGAGCTGAGGTCTTACCCTCTTAACCCAAGAGGCATTATAATCCCTGTAGCACAACACATGAATAACAGAAACACAGAGTGTGAAACAGTAAACAGAGATAGTCCACTTACCGATAAAGGTCCGTACGCACCTCCTCTCGTTATAAACCTCCCACAACTGAGGAAAGGGATGAGAGAAGAGAATATTAAACAAGCACTGCGTGACCCTTTGACTTGGTTTGACCAGCATGGGTCAGTGTGATGCACCAGTCCTACTGGCAACCACTGAGGGTCTCATCAGAAACCAGCACAGGGCTCATCTGAGAGAGTAAAGGCATTAAAACCAGTAGGCCCCTGGTTCTACCAGACACACACAGTGAGGAGTCAGATAGCCCTATTTGACCAAATAGGGCTATCTTCTGTATACCCCCCTACCTTGTCACAACACAACTGGATTGTCTCAAACGCATTACGAAGGAAAGAAATTCCACAAGTTAACTTTTAAGAAGACACACCTGTTAATTGAAATGCATTCCAGGTGACTACCTCATGAAGCTGGTTGAGAGAATGCCAAGAGTGCGCAAAGCTGTCATCAAGGCAAAGGGTGGCTATTTGAAGAATCTCAAATATAAAATATATTTTGATTTGTTAAACGCTTTTTTGGTTACTACATGATTACATGTGTTATTTCATAGTTTTGATGTCTTCACTATTATTCTACAATGTAGAAAATAGTAAAAATAAAGAAAAACCTTTGAATGAGTAGGTGTGTCCGAACTTTTGACTGGTACTGTACGTGTTCGTGAGAGTCTCACCTTTCCCCAGAGGGGAGTGTGTGTAGCCCAAACTGTTCGGACACTACAGACAGAAGTTGACAGATCGGCTGTACCGACATCAGACAAGTCCCAAGACGCTTGTGGGGGTCGTAGAGCAAAACGGTCGTGAGAGTATCATCTTTCCATAGATGGGTCATAATAGTCTTTGCAGGCCAAACCGTTTGGACACCTTTCACCACAGAAGTGCGACATAGGCGGATGCAGTGGAGTGAAACGCATCCAATGCAAAAAAAACATATCTCTAGCTTAAACTGACAGATTTTGGGGGGGATTTTCTTATTAAGATAATTACATTTAGGGGGTTAATCACCACCTCAGTGAGGACTTAATGGTGTCCGAGCGAGTCAAGAGTGTTCCTTACCTTGATCTTACAGTCCATAGAGCAGGAGAGCAGCAGGTGACCTGATACAGGAAACAGACGGATGGCACTGACCCCCTGCAGACAGACAGACAGACAGAGAGCGAGAGAGAGTGAAATGTGTGGACATAATAGATTCATATTATAATAATCTGCCCATCACTGAGCTTGCAGGTGTGTGTATGGTATTGCTATAATTCCTCTTACATACATTTGCGGCCAAACATATTGGCAACCTTGCACTTTTAAATAATTCCCTATTTCTTCTGAAATAAATTGATAAGACTTTTGGTCTTCACACCTTGTTTTTGGAATTAGATTTTTGTACACTTAAGTTTACAATTTAAAATGTAGAAATTAAAGACAAGTGGCATGGACAAATGTATTGGCACCCCAGAGCTAGTACTTGGTTGCACAGCCTTTGGCCAAGATAACTCCCGAAAAATGCTTCTTGTAGCCAGCAATGAGCTTGCTGCACCTTTCTACTGGCAATTTGGCAGTAAACTACTCTAATTATTCAATGTTTGACGGGTGCCCTCCACCAACTGCTGTTTTCAGCTCTCGCCATAGGTTATGGATGGGATTAAGATCTGGACTATTCCCTGGCCACTCCAGAAAAGTCCACAGTTTATTCTTGAACCATTCCAGGGTGCTTTGGTGTGTGGTTGGGGGTTGTTGTACTGATGGAAGACCTACAACCTTCAACAAAGAGACCGTTTTTGGACACTGGGTTGAACATTGAACTCCAAAACACGTTGATAATCTGCTGATTTCATGGATGTCTTGCGCACGTACAAGGCCCCCAGTACCAGAGGCAGCAAAGCAACCCCACAGCATTTTTGAATCTCCCCCATGTTTGATTGTGTGTGTGTGTGTGTGTGTGTGTGTGGGGGGGGGGGGGGTTATTTTCTTTGAATGTTTGCATTTGGTCGTTGGCAAACATAGGAAGACCCCACTGCTGAAGGAGACACAAAAAAGCCTGATTGAACTTCTCAGTAACCCACCAAAACAAGCCTAAATCCTAGGGGGGAAATGTTCTGTGGACCAATTAAACAAAATTAGCGCTCTTTGGCAATACAGATCAGCGCTGTGTTAACCAACGACCAAATTAAGCATTCAATGAAAAGAACACAGGACAATCAAACATGAGGAGGTTTGATAATGCTGTGGGGATGCTTTGCTGCCTCTGGTAGTGGGGGCCTTGAAAGTGCCCAAGGCATCATGAAATCTGCAGATTATGTGGTATTTTGAAGTCCAATGCTCAACCCAGTGACCAAAAACTGGGTCTCCATTGAAGGTTGTGGGTCTTCCAGCAGGACAACAACCCCCAAACACACATCAAAAAGCACTCGGGTATGATTCAAGAAGAAACGTTGGACTATTCTGGAGCAGCCAGCGAAAAGCCCAGATATGAATCACATCCAAAACCTATGGTGAGATCTGAAAACTGGAGTTGGTGGAGGGCACCTCTCAAACATTAAAGAATTAGAGCAGTTTGCTGCTGAAGAGTGGGCCAAATTGCTAGTAGAACGTTGCAAAAAATGTAATAATGATTTACACACAAAACACATTTAGGCAGCATCTTGATCCAGGAGGGGATTGATTGTCTCTGCTGTAACCAAGAAGCTTGATCTTGCAAGTTATCCACTTAGCTAGCAAGTTAGCAAACCAAAGGCATAGCTGGAGAATGTAATTGCCATATCTTAGATAGTGAACTTATAGCTAAAGCCCCCCTCGAGCTTTAGGGCGCCCCAACCCGTGTGTGTGCGTGTGATAATACCCACTAACAACTTGTCTTGGACAACACTATTCTCCTACTCATGGACAGTTCAGTGTGTGTGTATGTGATTAGACTAAAGGACACTGCACACTTTACGCAAACGCAGCGTCGTGTTCTACATACTTTTGTGCGGTTACATTTTTGGAATGGACTGTATACGACACTCTGTTGCGTAGGGCCCTTTAGCCTGCCCTATAGCTAGCAGCGCAGCAGAAAGAGAGGACATCCTGCTAGAGAGGCAGAGATCAGGCATGCATGCCTTGCTGCACACTGATTTGTGCCAAGGCATGTTGCTCACGGCATCTGCCATGCAGGATATTTTACTCAAATCACAATGGCGTTACCGGAAAATGTGTCTAAACTCGTTATTAAACCATCTACCATTCTCTCCTCTCATCTATCCATCCTCTATCCCTCCATCCACAAGCATGCTGCATTTGTATTCACCCCTCTTGCTTTTCGGTCTGCAACTGGCTCCTGTGTGAGTGAGTTGGAAGCCTTGCTCATTTTACATTTTTTACATTTTACGTCATTTAGCAGACGCTCTTATCCAGAGCGACTTACAGTTAGTGCATACATTATTCTTTTTTATTTTCATACTGGCCCCCCGTGGGAATCGAACCCACAACCCTGGCGTTGCAAACGCCATGCTCTACCAACTGAGCTACCTCCCTGCCGGCCATTCCCTCCCCTACCCTGGACGACGCTGGGCCAATTGTGCGCCGCCCCATTGGTCTCCCGGTTGCGGCCGGCTACAGCAGAGCCTGGATTCGAACCAGGATCTCTAGTGGCACAGCTAGCACTGCGATGCAGTGCCTTAGACCACTGCGCCACTCGGGAGAGTCGGTCCTCCCCTCGCTCACGCTACTGCATACAGGCAGAACCAAAGGCCTGATCACATCTCCACAACACTCCTTCTGCTGCACAAGTACTTTCTTTCTCTCTCGCTCTTACGCTCACATTCCCCTTCTCTGTAAATATGACGGACACTGTAATGACCGATTTGTGTATTTCAAAATACCCCGGTACACAGTATATACGGTATGCCGCCCAAGCTAACACACACACACACACACCTCACCTTGGTGTGTCCAGACCAGACGTGGATCTGTTTCTTGGGCAGGTAACACTTGTCTGGGATGTCTGCAGTACGCAGGTTGATGCCCACATCTTGGGGTACGTGGAGGTATGACCTCCCCTGGTAGTCGTACGCGTCTTTGACTGGAGACGCAGAGTAGATAAACAGTAAGACCCTGAGAACTGTCTACATACAGGTCTACATCTCATTCTCTTTTCATTTGAGTGAGTGCTGATCAGTTCAGTTATGTAAGTAGTAATGGCGGAGACGAGCGTGTTAGTTACCATGGAGAATGGTCTTCTCCTCTGCCGGAGCCTCTTCCTCGTTCCTTCCCTTCTTCTGCCTCTTGGCTGTGATCTCATCCAGCTCCTTCTGTTCCTCCTAGAGACCAATCAGCAGACAACAAATCGGTCAGAATCAGACCATATTTCTCTATGAGGAAAATCAGTTAAGTCCAAATAATCACACTCCTGCTGTATAATACAAGCATCCACATTTTGTTTGAGCTTCACATAATATTTTTTGATTGATTACCTCTGATGGTTTGGCGCTGTCCTTTTCGTCCACGTATTTCGCCCAGGGCCCGAGGTAGTTGTCAAGGTCATCCGCTCCACCTCCTTGCACCTTTTTCCTCTTGTCAGTCTGCTTTGGGCCAACCTCGAACACAGTCAATCCTACGAGAGGAGAAACACAAGAGAAAATGTAACTTTGTGCTCGTTCTTTCATTGACTTTTACAGAGAACCATGACTACGCTACACATTTCAACGGCTTTCCATTGCGCTTCAAAACATCCCTTACCGGCTAGCAATTCACACAATGTGCAAGTGACGCGTCAATTTTACTTCTGTATTCCTTGTTTTGTAGGCTAAGAATGAGCCTCAAATTTGCATCATCAAAGTCATGATAACACGTCTATTTAAGATATACTGTATATTAAATTGCATACTTGTTTCCGAGTGCCGTGTTTCAACGTATTTGACGGCCAAGAAGAAGCTGGCTGGCAACATTCAGTAAAAAAAAAACGAGTGTAATATAATATAAACATAAAACGGACAGTAACTAACAGGTTCTTACCATCCTGTAAGTCCTCAGCTCAAGCAGGCACGCTCCGGCATGCTGCATGCTATCAAAGCAGCAGGAGATGCGGTTCAAATTAGACTTTTCTAACTTCCGGCGTTGTCTTACTGTGTCAAATATTTTGATAACAGGCATCGGGTATGATTGAATCAATACACGAATACAAATATAATTTAATATATATATCTTAAAATGACCACGTTTTCATGAATTTTATTATATATTCTTGAAGCCCATTGAAAAGAGTCGGGACATGACGCCGGAAGTATGACATAGGATGATGTCACTCACAGGGTACCCATCACAAGCAAAAACATAAAGAGCAGGAAATTACAAAGGATTACCTTTCTTTTTCTCTGCCTCGTCTACTGCACCGATGTAGCTATTGGAGGAATTTTGGCTTGTATCCACAGACGGATCCAGAGCATATCCTGAAAGCAAAAGCATATAACAAGTGAATAAAAGAACTAAGATGCTACATTCCCCTAAACCTTTCGATTCAAGGTGAAAGGAAGGTTGACCTCTTCACAGCTAAACATTCTATCATAGACAATGACTGTGGTGTGAATAAGGTATATTTACCAAAGGTGGAGAAGGTCCTCCTCTGCTGTTCAAACATAAAGTTGTTGATGTGAGCAGGCTCTGCATAGCCAGACAGCATATTCCTGGGCGCAGCCATCTGTTGACTTTTATATGGGTTGACGGGACCAAACTAGAAGGGGTGCAAAGTGAATATGATAATGATGAACATGTTAGGTAGGTACAGTCAGAATGATGTACAGCAGTTTACTTGTGTAAAAAATTAACAAAAATGTTACCTCTGGCGCAAACATGGTTTCATATGTGGGGTTGTAGTTGACCTCCTTGAGAGAAGGGTCCAGATGTATGCCAGTCTCCACAGCCTCCTGTTGGAGTGAAGAAACATGACTGGTTTTATACTGCTAATCATTCTGATCAGTCATCAAACTATGAAGACACTTAAGTTAAAGGGGCTTGAAGTTAGCTGTCCCACACCTATCCTGTGTTGCGTTCAGTTCATTAAACGTTTTGTTACCTTGCGTGACAACAAAACCGTCACGTTCAGTACAAAACGTTTGTACTGAACAACACGTTACCCACAAACCTTGCACACCATTCTTAAACAGTATTTGAATTGAGATGCGTTTGACAGGGTGTTGGCTGATCAATATGGGTGACATTTGAAATCGCAAAACTCGTGCAGCTCAAAGTATCATCCTCTAAGCCACCATAATCACAACGTTCTTCAATGTATCGTTCAGAACAGCATGTTAGCTATCTAGCTAGCAAGCTAAAGACAGACAGTTAACAAACATTTCCCGCCTGACCAGCTAACGTTAACGAACCCTTTTGACTCACAGTTGCTACTCAGTGTTACGCGTTAGCATCAAATTATTATCGACTAACGTTAGCTTCTTTACTTTCACGATCCATCTAGTGTAGCTAGCTAAGTAGTATTAAGTGAACGTTACATTCAGAGTTTTTTTCTATGTGACAAGCTAGCTAAATTAGCAACCGGCTAATCTGCCTGGCCAGCTCGCGTACCTTTACGGCGACCTCAGGAGCTGAATTGAGGACAGCCAAAGACATTGTTTGGCCATATTTCAACGGTTGAAGATGTGCCAAAGCATCAGGGTCAATTTTTTCGGGATTAACATCAGATGTTTGTCTCATTATCTGAATCTGAATCGCTCCCGTACGAAACGAGGGTGGCCGCCATCTTGGATGTTGTGAAAGCCACCGGAAATGTCCTAAAAGTAGGTATTTACTTTGCAACATTCAAGTGAACAAATATATAATAAACGTCAACATTGGGAGAGATTCATTATTTAGTTAAATATGACTCAATTTGAAATAACATAAATCACTCCTATGTTTTCAATAGATGAGTGATCTAAATATTGAATCAATACAAATACATTTTTTATAAACCTTTCAGGATATAATTCTCGATCGGTTGTTCGTCTGAGGGTGTTCGATTAAGCTGAACTGCGGTGCACCGGGGTATGGCCTGAGACGTGCACGGGCAAAAGCGGTGAGGCAAAGGCGTCCTTCTCAATCGAACAGTAATCTGCGATGCTCGGTCATGTTGTCAACAAGGCAGTACGGCGCATCGTTCAGAAACGTACATCTCTTTTTCATAGAATATATATATGTTCGAATTTTCAAACTAGTTTTCATTATGAAGGCAGATAAAGCAATCACTTTACATAAAAAGAAACACAGAATCCTACTCATAATTCTACGTCACTTTTGTTTTGAGGAGCCGAATTCGACGTCGGCCAGAGCTGGGCACCTGGCTCACGCCCGTGAGGCAGCCTTGTTCCAAAACGAATGCAATCACTTTTCACCCGATCAAACTCCTTTCAATGGGGCAACCCGGGACAGATAATCGAATCGCCTCTTTCTTTCATAGCAGGCAAAATGCAAGACCATGATTGGACAATATTCCTTGGACGGAAACAAATAAGCCAATAAGACTAGTTAGTGTTGTGTGCGATCTGAAAATCAATTAGATGAGCAGCCATAATAACCCACAAGCAAGGCTGGGGAATAACTGATTACATGTAATCTGATTACAAAAAACGGTAACGTTATCGGTTACATTACCAGCAAAAATATTGTATTCAGATTACAGATACTTTTGAAAAACTAGATGATTACTTTTCATTTCAGCAAAAATATTGTAATCAGATTACAGATACTTTTGTTTCACCTGAGCAAGTCTGGAGAACACTAGGATGACACAGCAAATGCGTTTGATGGATCCTTTTTGTCTTTTTCTAATGCCTCTTAAGGGGAAAATAATCAAAAAGTAAGTAATCTGATTACGTTTCTGAGTTTGGGTAATCCAAAAGTTACATTAGGCCTACTGATTACAATTTTGGACAGGTGAGCAGTAACCTAAATTACATTTAGAAAGTAACTTACCCAACCCTGCCCACAGGATGATTATTTGATGAACATTAAACCCTATATAGAATTGTATGTAACCCTATGGTTACCTATATCAATAACTTAAACAGTGAGGTACATTAATTATATTGATGTGTAACTGTGATAAAGTTATGTAATAACAAAATAATATTACGCATGTAATGACTTTAAAAAATATATATATGAATTTGCACAGTACAGTAGGGCAGTCAGAACTAATCAAATTGTTATCCACCTCCTTGCTATGGATTGGACATACGGTAAGAACGGGAGTGGTTTGAAGAAAATGGGCCAATCAGGTGTGCGTTTTCTGAAGGTCAGTTTTGTGGCTCCTCGCTCTGACGCGTGAGGTGGCTCTCCAACAATAGAAAGTGGTACGTACCATCACAGTCTTTACGATAGGTACATTTCCCAACGAAGTCAAGATGATCTTTTCTACTTTGCATTGATAAAATAGTTTCCTCGCCTGTGAATGAATCTTAAAATCGGTTGTTGTACTATCTGTTGCATTAGATTGTGCCCCCTGGATCCCTTCTGGAAGGGAATAGTGCCTTGTTCCTTCGCTGCTAAACGGGATTAATTTCACCCCAGCTATGATAACCAAAGCATGGAAGTGGGTTGGATTGGATATGTGAATTGATAGAAACAGCGGCGTACACTGTACTGCAGTAGAGATGGCAAGACTATAGGAGGAATTGAAAATACATTTAAGGTATGATATAACATTTTATCATGACAGAATTTTTGCATGCTCTAAAAACTGCTACCATGAAGAATATTTGAGAATTGGGAAATGTAGTAAAATTGCGACCATTTACTTACACAATTAACTGTTAAAATATTTAGCCTTTACTGTCTGTAACAGTAGAGCAACTGAGCTAGCCACTCGTGACAGGTGTGAGGAAAATATATTTTTTAACTTGTCCGTTTGTTGCACAAATCTGGTTTTATTTGGTTGCATTATGCATACGGCAATTAACCAGGATGCACAAAAAGAGAGAAAAAACACCTAGCTACTTGGCCAGTGGTCATGTTTTGAAAATAGCCCGGGGGAAGGGATCAAGGTTTCACATCTGCACGAACTCACGCTAACGTAATTGGTTCAATAGATGGTGGTTGTAAATTACGAGAGCTGGTTAGCAAGCAGCATGCTAACTATCACACCACATTGTCATTCTGAAGGGTTGGTGTGAATGAAAGTATACATCAGACATCTTCTCAATTCATTATCATAAACTCAGTTTTTTTAGCAAACTCTGGTCAACATTATCGATATATAGCTAGCTGACGATTTTCTTTGGTTGCATGGGCAAGATAACGGTGCACCAACCCCCTTTGTGCAAAGCGAGCACGCACGCACGAACGTCATTTCATTTTCTCACGAAAGATTGCATTGACTTTTCGTTGCAGAAGGGTTGGGGTCCTCTTCAATCGACCTTCAGTTTGTTTCCAATGAAGTTGTCTATTGGGGATGGGGACGCCACAGCCGGGGAAAATATTTTTGGGAAGTGCTTTGAAACCTTAGAAACCTCTGAAACCCTTTTCTGACTCGGGCGCCTTGAGTTCATTTGTGGCAAAAACACATAATGTGACTACTACACACTAACCTGAATCACAACTCGTGTTTTGAGATAGCCATGTCGTTTGGGTGTATTTTTTATTCTAAATTTTTTGTTATTATGCAAATGTTTTCTGTAATGCTTTTTCGGGTTGTATCAAAGTAGCAGTTTAGGCCTATAGCCCCGACAGCAGCACATCCCTACTGGTTACATATAGATATTGACAGGCTTTCATCTTAGGATGTATTTATACTGAACCAAAATATAAACGCAACATGTAAAGTGTTGGTCCCATGTTTCATGAGCTGAAAAAAAGATCCCAGAAATGTTCCATATGCACAAAAAGCTTATTTCTCTCACATTTTGTTCACAAATTTGTTTACATCCTTGTTAGTGAGCATTTCTCCTTTGCCAATATAATCCATCCACCTGACAGGTGTGGCATATCAAGAAACTGATTAAACAGCATGATCATTAAACAGGTGCACCTTGTGCTGGGGACAATGAAAGGACACTAAAATGTGCAGTTTTGTCACACAACACAATGCCACAGATGTCTAAAATTTTGAGGGAGCATGCAATTGGCATGCTGACTGCACAAATGTCCTCCAGAGCTGTTGCCAGAGAATTGAATGTTCATTTCTCTACCATAAGCCACCTCCAACGTTGTTTTAGAGAATTTGGCAGTACGTCCAACCAACCTCACAACCGCAGACCACGTGTAACCACGCTATCCCAGGACCCCCACATCCGGCTTCTTCACCTGCGGGATCGTCTGAGACCAGCCACCCGGACAGCTGATGAAACGGAGGAGTAGTTCTGTCTGTAATAAAGCCCTTTTGTGGGGAAGAACTCATTGTTATTGGCTGGGCCTGGCTCCCCACCCATGGCTGCTCCCCTGTCCAGTCATGTGAAATCTATAGATTAGGGCCTAATGAATTTATTTCAATTGACTGGTTTCCTTATATGAACTGTAACTCAGTAAAATCGTTGAAATTGTTGCATGTTGCGTTTTATATTTTTGCTCAGTATATTATGATAGTTTGTCAGTTAATTTAGTTGTGATAAGATTACATTATTTAATGTCTCTCGCAGCATGATATTAGCCAACATGATATAAGCCTGACTGACGACGGTCCTATTTGATGTCTATAGTTTAACATGTGTGTGTATGCGAATGTGGTGAGGAGCGCGCCAGGTCCTGCATTTGCCAGCGAGAAGCGCCTGTCATTCAAATCTTGTACAGTAGCTTATATTAGATCTCAACCCTCTATTTTTATGATATGCCATATGGCATACATTTCCACTGAAGTTGGAGAAGAATCCCCTGAAATGATTGCTTAGGCTAATATCTCCTGTCCCGAATCTAATAACAGATCGTTATAGCAATGGTAATCTGATCCAAAATAATTTAGAGAAGAAGACTATGTCCATGAATCACTGCAAGGATATGTTTTGTTGTTGTTGTTTTCTATGAGTAGCAGCAACGTTGGTCAGGTAGGTGTACCTGATATTCTATCAAATTCAGTGCTGATTGTCTGCTATCTATGCTGACTGTTTTTACATTTACATTTACATTTACGTCATTTAGCAGACGCTCTTATCCAGAGCGACTTACAAATTGGTGCATTCACCCTATAGCCAGTGGGATAACCACTTTACAATATGTTTATTTTTATTTTTTTTTGGGGGGGGGGGGGGGGGGGGGGGGGGTAGAAGGATTACTTTATCCTATCCCAGGTATTCCTTAAAGAGGTGGGGTTTCAAATGTCTCCGGAAGGTGGTGAGTGACTCCGCTGTCCTGGCGTCGTGAGGGAGCTTGTTCCACCATTGGGGTGCCAGAGCAGCGAACAGTTTTGACTGGGCTGAGCGGGAACTATGCTTCCGCAGAGGAAGGGGAGCCAGCAGGCCAGAGGTGGATGAACGCAATGCCCTCGTTTGGGTGTAGGGACTGATCAGAGCCTGAAGGTACAGAGGTGCCGATCCCCTCACAGCTCCATAGGCAAGCACCATGGTCTTGTAACAGATGCGAGCTTCAACTGGAAGCCAGTGGAGTGTGCGGAGGAGCGGGGTGACGTGAGAGAACTTGGGAAGGTTGAACACCAGACGGGCTGCGGCATTCTGGATGAGTTGTAGGGGTTTAATGGCACAGGCAGGGAGCCCAGCCAACAGCGAGTTGCAGTAATCCAGACGGGAGATGACAAGTGCCTGGATTAGGACCTGTGCCGCTTCCTGTGTA